TTAGTCTTCCTCCCAAAAAACACTGTAAAGCAGGCTAGCTCCCTCTTTACTTTCAAGCACTGGCTCAGATAAATAACATAGAAATAATTAAGTGAAGCAACCAGCTTTGAAAAACCTGTAAGGCTAATGCTACTCCTTCCTCCTTCTACTTCTAAGTAAAACACAATCACTTTATTTACGAAAGACTTACAATTGCATCTACCAAATTACCTGTAAAGAATGTTCCCTCACGTATATAGGTCAAACAAAAAAACCCTCTCAACCTCAGAATTAATAATCCATAGATCTCATATCCAAAAAATTTTAAAATAAAAACAATAATAGCACGAAAAGATTAGTCAGCTTACAGCAATTCTTGAACATTATAATTTACATAATTTTAATAACATAGAAATAAACGTGCTTGATATTGTTCCAAACACCAAACTTAGACTGTTTAAGGAATCGATTTACATACTTAAAAAAAAAGTCACTTTATTCTTACGGACTGAATGCATATTTTAGTAATACCACCAATAGACAGCAAGAAATCTCTATATATGGACAGTTCAGATTTTTTAGCACTACTACTACCAGAGGATCTAGAGGAGGTGATACCGATAAAACAAAAAAATGTTTTTTCAACACAAGAGATCTGAAATTAATTATTCACAAAATCTTAATTCCTACCTCTTGAACATAAAGAATTCGCAAAAAATGCCATAAAACTTCTTCATACCTTTAAGAATACTACCTTATGGAATCTGATTAAAAACAGTAAATCAACCTTCTTCAATGCTTCAAAATAGTCAAGGATCTGATTATAGACTTCTGCAATTTTAAACTAAAGAACAGTAATTTTTTTCACAAAAAACGTTTTTGTACTATTCAGTTCAAACACCCTTCTTACGATAAGTTAAAAATACCTAGCATATTTCAAAAAATTTCAGCACTTGCTTCCTAACCAACCACTTCAAATTAGAGCCCTGTTTTAAATTTGAAAAAAACCTTAGGTCAACTAGTTATCAACCACCACGTTATACAAGATAATAGCAAATGTAATTGCCAATTGACTGTCTACAAAAATATGTCGATCCTTTCCACCCACATGTTATCACTGGAGATCTTAATATCATTGAAGATGTAGAATTACGAACCCTTTTGCAACTTGGCACCAAATTTCGTCCTACTTTCGGTATTAATAAACACGTCTGCCTCAAACAATTCAATAATGATCTTGATAAATTAATTATTTTAGCTAGTAATAGATCCAATTTACCCACTACAACTTTTCTTGAATGGAAAGCTGCACTAATTAAAGAATTTCAACGTTTGATGTTCAAGTCACCTTTTTTCAACTCTTTACACAATAAAAAACGTCTAGAGGATCTAATTCAAAAATTGCAAGATAACTTTATCATCACGAAGATTGACAAAGCAAGCAACAATTTTAGTGTTTATTTGACAACAATTCTACTTCAACCTTCTGCATAAGAGTTAAATAACACCTGCACTTACCAAAAAATCACTACCAGTACTAGATTCTTCTCAATAAATTTAAAGCACTCCATAAAAGACTAAAAATACAACCCCAGAAATATAACAAGAGGTTTGCCAATCTCTATGCTTTACCTAAATTTCATAAGTATCCAATAAAATTCAGGTTTATAGCTAATAGTGCCAAAAAGTTATCTCAAAGAAATAGATTATCCTCTTGCACAAAACTTCGTATGATACGTGACCTAATTAATAACTATGATTTTGAGGGTCTGCATTGCAAACTGGATGATCTCTAGTAACGAACTAGTTCTTAAAACTATGAATTCACTTAAAATAGACCATATCCAATGCTACAACTTTGAAAACCTCTATACTTCTCTACCACTTGAAGAAATTTTTTACAAGTTTACTAGCTCTTCCAGATTTATTTCCGCAAATTTCTACCATTCTCAGCAAACGAAAAATGGCAAACTATTCCTCTCCAGCGTGCTCTTAAATAATTTTATTCAATTTGACAATAGCATCTATAAACAAGTACAGGGAATCCCAATGGGCGGTAATTTTTCAAGCTCTGTCTGTGAATTATTCCTTTTTACAAAAGAATTGACTTATGTCCGTTCACTCAGTACAGAAGAAGGTATTTTTTACCAACACATCTATAGATATATTGATGATGTCATTGCATTTAATAACTACAACAAAATAGAAGAAGCTAATATCTACCCTGCATGCTTAAAACTAAATAAAACAAATACAGAACAGCATAATGTAGTCTACCTTCATTTACATATTATAGATTACAATTTTATTAAAGTTTACGACAAAAGAAGATAATTTAATTTTTCCACACTAAAATTAACTAACTGGAATTCAAATATTTCCAAAAGAGTCATACTTAACACAATTTATTAACAGCTACTCAGAATAAAAAGAATCTGCAATACTGCGAAACACTTACAAGAAGAAATACTATACTTCGTAACTATTTTGAAAAGTAACCTAATTCCTCATAAAATAATTAAAAATACCCTAAAAAAAGCTGGCATTAGCCTTACCTATTTTTTAGATTTTTTGAATTAGATAATGATATTTTATTGCCTAAAGCCCGAAGGACGGTTTAAGATGGATGACTGATTCAGAGAATCTAATGTAAAAATGTACAGATAATTCTTGTTTATTCATTCTCTTTCCTCCAAAATTTTGGCACTTTACTTTTAAATACTATTGTTTAAATAGTTTTAAATTTCTATAATGGCCAATTTTACTGCTTTTATTAAACAAATCGGGCCCTTTTCGTTTTTCATAGTAGTTTGATCGCCCGCTAGCTTGAAGAATTACGACTTTTTTAACAAATGACTGTTTTTTCCTTTTACTCTTGCTTTTTGTGGCCAAGTTTTGTAGTTTTAGCTGAATTAGCCATTTTTCACTTTCAGTCACAAATTTTTTTCTTCCAACTACATGTCAGACGCCATTTTTGTAATCTTTTCACGTTTTTTCCGAGTTTTCCGACCCCCTTCGATAATAGGAGAACGAGTTGCAGCTAACGGACAATCTTTTCGTATTGGCTGATGCCCACAGAACTTCGCTCCCCCCTACATACGTCACACGACTGAAGTAACACGGAAGGGAATTACAACAACTTTTCAACATAGTTTTAAGAGGGAGAGCTCTGCATCGCCACAGGTCAGTTTTTTATGTTTCTTTTGTTACAACTTTTTCTTGGTCTTAGCAAGACCCACTTGTTAGTTTTCATCTTAATTTTCTTTTATTTTATTTACAGATTTTCATTACAGATTTCTAAAATATATAAAATTATAAATCTTTAAGCTTGCAGGCCCAGCCCGTATGTTTTTTTGTATATTTAGGACTAATAGCAGACCGCTATTTATTTTTTATTTTTTTATTTTTATTTATTATTTTTAATTTTAGTCTAGATTTAAGATGTATCGGAAATAGTTTTTACATATTTTAACACCTTAATGTGTCATTTTGTGCGGACGCGTCGGGAAATTGGAACAGAGAATTGAGACTATTAAAATTTTACAAGACACTTTGTCTAAATTAAAATTTTGTAGCGAAAAAGTTTCAATTGTCTGTTTCGGCGAAACGCGTAATGGGGTTAGCTTGATTCGACGTTCAAACAAAAAATTTCCCTTGAAAAGCCAGTTTGAAGTCGAGTTCGGCTAACTTACCATTTTCCGCTTACTTTTTTATCTGATTTTGTTTTTTTAATGTTTTACTTGTTAAATGGTTTGATTTTCGTATGTATTAATTTTTTTTAAACGTGTTGAACTTTTTGGAGCAACAGCTCCTGGTAACTTTTAGGCGAGCTTACTACAATTTCTAATTTACTTATTCTGCAGCAAATTGCGCAAGATATATTCTAGACCAAATTGGTCATTCAGTATTGTAATAACTACCTTGCTTGATATATATGATATATGATATATGATATATATATATATGATGTACCAGCTTTTGCCCGGAATAAATAGAATGCTGAAGAATCATAAATGTAGTCGTAACTTAAATTATCAGACGATAAGTTTAAAAAACAGGATCCATTTATTATTGGTCAGGAGAAATAGCATTTACAAAATCATATTCCCGGAGTAAATAAAAAAGAATTACTAATAACTTTTTGTATGAAGTTTACTGTATCGTTATATTTAAGAAAAAGCCCCCGATATTCTTTTGCGAGTCCTTTGCGAATCCTCTGAAAAGGCGGAGCCTCCCACGTCAGCCTCGTCAGCCAATCCAGTTCGCTTTATATTTCCAGAACATTCTATAACTGTAGGTGTAGAAAAGGCGGGAAAAACAACTTGACTACGGGGTTGTGGATTTAATTCCACGTACTTTCAAATAAGAGACCGTCGCCATTAAAAATGAAAAGAACATACAGTTAGAATTTTTAAGTGTATTCTTGATTACGGAATTTTATTATTACAAATATATATATCTTTTCCTAGTTATTTTTTACTATCTATTCGAAATGTAGGCCCAAGTACCCTGGTGTTTGACACGGTTCTACTAGATTTGTCCACGGTATATGCTAATGCACCCCGAGGACCACGGTCAGGAAAGCAGACTCACTGCAGGGACTGCTGTGCATCTGCTTTCTGCTTCCGAGCACTGCAGGCCATGGCCCACTAGGACTGTCGCGCCGCTGAGTTTAGTTTACTTTTCATTTATGGGCATTAAATGACCAATCTAAAAATAATTCTATTGGTAAAACCATTTACTCATATAATACTTTACAAAAGATGAAATTTCATATAAAAGGAATATTAATCACAGAACAATTATGTCGGATTACATTAAACTGCAGTAAATGTTAATATATGTAATTTATTTTATGTGCTTTCTAACTCAATCGATATGCATTGCTACAGCACAAAACTGGTGATTCTTAGAGAAATATACCATCAAGATTAATGGCTAATGGCGGTTGTTAAAAGAAACATCGTCAAGACTAATGAATCTCTTAAAATAATTACCTTCCATTTTTACCATAAGCTCACCTTAAAGATCCCGACGATCCTGTTCTGGTCCTCCAGTTCATCCCCGGTTCTTTTCCCTCGATATAGTTCGAAGGAATGCAACCACTCTCGGAATCCTCCGAAATCGGGCACATTTTCGAGCTCACATGGATAGATCTGGAAAGAAATGAGAGTATATACGAGAATAAAAAGCTTAGATGTGGAAAATACCATTAAATGATTTAGTTGCGTGCGTACAAGCTCGTAATGGATCAAATGTACACAGAACCGATGAAAGGTTGATAAAAAAATTTATTTTACCAAAAGAAACACTTCACATTTCTAGAAATTAACACAAAAATACTCGTACAGCTCTTCTCAGTATCACAGAACACAATCAGTAGTTACACTTCAAACTAATAAGAACTTTAAACACAACGCTTTGCAAAGCTCATCTAAAAGACGAAGCTGTCACGGGTATGTCAATACTGCGAATTCAGCTGTGAACTAACAGCTGTGAGCAGATGCTGTCTCCGGTCTTATATAGTTTTCAAACCGGCCGCAGAGAAATCTCTAAGAAAGTCTATTTCTCGAAATTACCGGAACGCATATGAAGGCTGGATGCGGTTACAGCTATGTATAGAATCAATTATAGTTATTCAATTACATAACCCATTACAGTTAAAAAGGGACCAGACCAAAATGTCACTAAATGTTCGCCAAGTTTGGCGATTTCTTGCCAAATTTGGCCACAAAAATTAGTTGCCAAAACCATCGCCAACTTGGCGATATCTCGTAAATTTAGCGAGACAGTCATTTGCTCAATGTTAAATAGAATTACCCCTGTATTTTTATCTTTTCGACAAAGCTTCGCTTCATTAGATTTTCATTTTGCGTTATACGAAAGAAGCTACAATTTTACATATAATTTCATTACAATTACTTACATTTATACAAAATCCATTATAATATTTATAGAAAATTAATCGTAAAAATAACTACTAAAAATTAAAACATTTTAGGAATCTCCATGCTACTATAACGTAAGAAATAAAATGTTGGGCATTCTTATTAAAATTAAAAATAATAGTTAGTAATACGATTAACTTAACTAATAATATAAACCAAAATCCTTCGTAGTGAGTTTAAAAGTAAAAAAAAAAAAAAAAAAAAAAAAAAAAAAACATCACATTAGTTTTAATTAGTCATGATGTTAGTTTTGAGGAACAATTCATTAGTTCATATGCGGAGATCATCATATTCAATCATTAGAATAATCATTAGATTAGGTTAAAATAAGCTTAAGAAGTTGAAGAAGATACAGGGGTTGGACAAAAATATGGAAACACCTTTAAAGAAACATTTTTCTTTGCTTAATATGGTGTAGGAAACCCGTTGGCATCCAAAACAGATTGCACTCTTCTCGGAATGGATAAATACAGTTCCTGTATGTTTGCCAAGGGAATATTATACCATTCTTCCTGCAAAACGGTGGCAAGTTCAGATAACGATGTTGGCGGTGGATAACGAGAACGCACTTCCGTTCCAATGTAGACCAAAAAGCTTCGATAATATTCAGGTCTGGTGACTGTGGTGGCCAGGGGAGATGGGACAACTCATCCTAGTGCTCAGAAAACCAGTCCTGGACAATGTGAGCTGTGTGAACAGGGGCTTTGTCGTCTTGGAAGACACCATCACCATCGGGGAACAAAGTTTGTACCATGAGATGAACTTGATCGGCCAAAATGTTCACATAAGTCTTGGCAGTCATGTGCCCTGACACAGTTATCATGGGGATAGCAGAGAACCACGATATGGCTGCCCAAACCATAACAGAACCCTCGCCATGTTTCACTCTTGGCAACAAGCAGTCTGTATTATAGGCTTGAGATGGCGTTCTCCAGACGTAAACTCGGCCAGAAGTGGGAAACAATGTGAAAGAAGACTCGTCAGACCATATTACTCGCTTCCACTGCTCTATAGTCCAGGCTTTATGACTTAAACACCACCTTTTCCTGTTACGGGCATTAGCATCGCTGATGAGTGGCTTCTCAATTGCAGCACGGCCAGCAATTCCCTGTTTATGAAGCTCCCTTCTAATTGTTTTGGTACTCGCAGGGTTCGGTAACACAACATTCATTTCAGTAGTAACTTTTGCAGCTGTGGTCTTCTTATTTTTTCGTCACAATTGCCCTTAATGATCGTCTGTCACGATCACTCAGGACACACTTTCGTCCGCGCTGTGATTTAGCACATGATGTTTTTTCCGCTTTTCCAAATATGCGGAATAAATCTTCGATACAGTACCTTCTTGAAACACTAAACACCTTTCGGCTACCTTGCTTACGGAAGCACCTACCATACGTGCTCCAACAATTTGCCCACGTTCGAAGTCTGTTAACTCTGACATAATGCAATGACAACCTCACATAACAGTACTCCGACAACAATTGAACTGTTTAGCAACATTTACGAAGTTGTATAGGTGGCGTCAGTAGTCAAAAACGCCAGCGCCACCTACATATTTCATTAAAATCAATCTTTCTTTTCAAACATGCATTTCACGAGGTGTTTCCATATTTTTGTCCATCCACTGTAGTTCTGTAGTTGTATCGTAACTAGTCCTATAAAATTTACAAATATTACGCTGATTCCTGTTGTTTGACTTCTCCAATAATCATTAGATTACTTTGAAAACATAAGTAACCATATTAGGTTTAATCAAATATTATATTAATTATAATTTACATACCGCCCTGTATTTTACAAAGACATAAAACAGTCTGAAGCTAATTCAACGTGTTAGGTCTGAAAACATTCAGTCAAGTAACCGGTTTTTCTTGCACCTTTGGCATAACACCTTTGGCGAAATTTGAAATTTGCGCATTGCAGTTTGATTCAATTTACCAAGTTTGGCTAATAAACGCGGTAGTCAATTTAACTATATCTATCCTCCTATTAATAATGTGGATTATTCCCTACAGCTCGTGTTTTTTTCAAATGCCTTCACATATCGGATTATCTGTGATATCGATTAAACCGTAGACTTCATACCCGTATTATCCAGCAAATCAGAATTTGACTGTATTTTCTAGATTTTTCAGCAAGATCATTAGAGTTCCTGACGAAATTCTTAATCTTCTTCTGTATTATAATCTACATATGACTTAGAGCATTATGGGCATCGGTATTTTTCAGGTACCTTGATCTCTAGTTATTAGGTCGGTGATAAGTCAACACCCTAGTAAAGCCCAAATCAAATAGCATTTATATTTTACCTGGTAGGACTACATAAAAACATTGGCTTAGGCTGGAAAGATTATTTATTATACTACTAGTTTAGCAGCATCTGGAAAAAAGGATCTCTTAAGTTTTTCTTCAGATTTATCAACCTTTATCGAACGTGTATTATCAGAGTGGAAATATTGACTAAATTTTAGTGTTACTATAAACTATTGGAAGGAGTAGCTTATTTTACTGGTTTGTAGCATTTGGAAGGAATTATCTGGTAAAACTGTTGTTAGATTGATCTTCATCAAACATGTGTCTTGGAAATGGTAAGATCAATTAAATGCATGTATTATAAACAATGAGAAGGAGGGATTCATTTTAAAGTTTTGCTTCATCTGAAAGAAAGGATCTGATAAAAGTGTTACTAGATTAATCCTGTTCGCATGTCATATATGCCAATTGAGTTTCAAAAGAGGATAAATTTTTGTATTATAAACAATGAGCGAAAGTAGTGTGTTTCAAACAATACGTGGAAGTGGTTTGCACCATCTGGAAGAAAGCACCTGCCAAATGTTTTGCTAGATTGATTCTATCCTCATCAAACTTATGTCATTAGAATAGCAGCATCGAATAGATGATTTCATTATAAACGATGAGAAAGCGGGCGGTTATTTGGAAAATATTCTGAACTACAGAACGTCTTTGTCATTGAACGTCTGTTGGAAAAGAATAATATTTTGACATAGTTTAAAAAGATTACTTACCATAATATAAGACACCCCCCTTTCTTTATACACATTTTTGAAGGCTAAAAGTTTATTACTGATCATTATAATGAATTTAAATATAAAGTAATAAATTTAAATAAAGTAAGAGAATTAAATATAAAGTAATACAAAGTAATACTTTCTTTAAGTAATTTAAATATAAAGTAATACAAAGTAATACTTTCTGCAAATAGCCAGTCTATCTGGGAAAGAACACATTTTAATCTTCTTCATCGAAAGCCAGACACTCATCTCCAGAGCTAAATGAAGAGTCACTTGAAATCAGTTTTAAATCAGTATTTGAGACCTTATACAACAAATTATCCTCTGTACCATTCAGTGCATAACGAATGCTACACTTCTTAAATGATTTAACCATTGTCCCTGTCTTTACAGCATCCCATGAAGCTTTGACCCATTCAAAATCGCATAACTCCGAATAGAAGAAATCTCCAGAAGTGAATGTAATAAAAAATTGAGTATCGACATATAAGACGCACCCCGTTTTTCAGACCTATTTTCAAAGGAAAAAAAGTGCGTCTTATACGCCGGCATATACGGTAACTTAAACCGAAATCAGCGAAGTAGAGAATTCATTCGGAGATTTCAAGACATAATTTTACATTAGCTTGCATGGATTAAAAATCAGATGTACCTTGATAAGGGATTCTTCCGTCATCAGTTTTCTGTGAGATTTGGGGGATAGCCTCTGAGCCAGTCTAACTGCGGTCGACGTGCCTTTCAAGGTTCTCTTCTGCTGCTGAGGCGGCTGATGCTGGTTTTCAAGTCTCTGCAGCTCTTTTTCGACTTTGCGAGCGTCTTTCATACTCAGCTCCTCACCTTCGTCAGAGCATGCATTGACATCACCATTCATGGCTCCCAAGCTACTCACACTGTCCGTAGTTGTCCCCTGATTCTTTTCCTGGAAAAAAAATCGATTTGGCTTAATCCTAATGGTTTCAGTTTGTTTCTTCAGCCAAAACTTTAAAACCATCCATTCAAAAATAAGAATTCGGGCTATATGTTTATACATATAGGATGAAGAACGAAAACAAAATGGTAAAATTTAAATATTTCAAAATATTTTTGCCTAAATACAAATATTTTCAATTTCGAATTTTAGTTCTGATTGTTTAATGAATTTTTTTGTAGATTTGTTTTAATTACAATGATCATAGATTCGAAAAAAAATATTCTACGTAAATATTTGTTTTTGAGGAAATTTATTCGACGTAAATATATTTCTTTTTGTTGCAGTAAAAGACTGCAGCAAGGTTTCTCAGAATTACTTTCTCGATCATTCCCCGTTAGAATATAACAAAAATTTCAAAGTGCTTACGAATTATAATAAGTGTTTACAGGAAACTTCTTTTAAAAATAAATCAGAAACGTGAACAAAATTAAATTCGTCGAAATTTAATATCATAAACTTATGGATAAGCATTACTGTTACACATTATATTTATAAAATTCCTTAAAATGTATACAAAATGTGTAATATATGTAATAGATTCAAACTTAGAAGCAGGCCAGGTACAGGAATTTTTATGGTGTTGATCCACAATGACTAAGAAATTGGAGGCGAAGGCAGATTAAATCTTCAGTTTTATTTTCAAAAACATGTTGCGGCTACACACAAGTCGGCACATTAAATGTGCTTGTTCCAAAAGGCTTACAGTTAACAGATTTGCAGCAAAAAATAGGGAGCAGACAGTCCAGGTAAGGCAACGCGTAGAAAGCGTAATATTCAGGATGAAATCTCAAGTCAGACTGAGTTAGGTTTGGTTTTCAAAGCATTTTGATTGGACAGTTAATATTACTGTAAACTTACTATTGGCTGGATGAGTTTTAGTTCCATTTACATCATCATAATTACGCAAGAATCATATGTCATAGAATAGTCTCGAAATGATGCAGTGCAGAGAGGGGTTACTATTTTTAGAACTGAGAAGGGAAATTTACGTTGCTAATTTAATCTTTTACATATTCTTTATTTTTCTTACATATATGTATGCCAGAAATTTCTAAAACTGCACATAAAGTTTCCCATTAATAAAACTTTGAAACATTATGTCTATCAAATTATTGCTCACAATTTCTTTACTTTCAGGAGTAGTGCGCAGCAGATGATTTAATACGAGTATGTTATGAACTAAATGCAATACACTAAAAGCAGGTCACCTTGAAAATCGTTTTCAGAAAGAAGCATTTGAAAAGACTTGGCCCGAAGGTAATTTTGAAAGAAATCGAGTCATAAATTCTATTCAATTATTCGAATACATTCATATCACATAATTACTTTTTTAGAATAACAAACGTAAAACAAAGAGAAACAACATGGAAAATGCATATAGCGGTAAAACACAAAAACTGTAAATTCGTTACATTGTTATGATGTCGATAAATCTTCAAAATAATTTTATAGACTACATAAGCAATGAAAAACTGCACTGTTGCTTAGCTACATTATGGCTACATCTATATCATTTAAACGAACAATTGACACTCAATTCGAATAATTAAAAATAAGTGAATAATTAAAAAACAGCAATAATTTAACATTTAAATTGAATGATTAATTACTAAATGAAAACTACAGTTGTAAACTTAACTAAAATTGCTACCCACAGATAATCTTAAGCAAGGATATACTCATAATTTAATTCAGAGATTTAAAAGCATTATACATTGTTTATGTTAATAAATATTTTAAAAATTATTTATCATGAATGTTTGAACATATGAATATGAGATAAATATAGATAAAATAAAGTACTTTAATCATGGCTTCATACGAAGCAAAGTAGCGTGTCCACCAATCTTTGTTTTCCTCATCTTCATCGAAAGCTTCTTCTTCTGTCAGCTTCTTTTTCTTCTTATTAGCTTCTGTTTTCTGGTCTTTTTTTGGCTTTCCACCCTAAGAAAAAAAAAACATATTCAGTAAAGTGAAATTCGTTTTAAATTGTCTAATTTATGCATATCATATTATATTTATAATGTTGTTGCAAAATTCATTTTTGAGAGATTCTTGGAATTAAATGCTGTTGTTTTCTCAATCATTAGAAGAAAAACAAGACTTAACAACTCTTAAAGTGTTTTATTTAAACTCTAAATATTAAATGGCATTTGTGATATGACTTCTAATAAATGGGATCGGATCAAACATTTTTATACCATCCTACCGAATGTAAAAGTTTTAGAGAAACTAAAATTGATATGCTTTCTTTTGAAAAGCTTTTTTGTACTTTTCAGAGGCAAAAACAAAGTACATATTAAAAATCAAAATATTCGGTTTAAAACATATCTCTAAGCATTTGGAAAAATTGTAATTTTATGTTTATTAGTCCAAAGAGGCTTTGTCCCTGAAGGACTATTGTTTACCACCGATTATTTTGTTTAAATTTGATTTTGACTTCATTTATATGCATTATATAATGCATTATTTTATGCATTACATTGCAGATCTTTTAATTCTGAGTAAATTAAAGTTTAATGGGGCAATTAAATACTGAACGCAATGGGGTCTTGGCGACAATTTCTGTCACCAAATTTGGGAAATTATGCTTTTTTCATTTCTTTATACGAGTTAAAGGAAGAATTGTAATCGAGAGAAATTTCGGGTATTATATTTTAACTAAAATATCCATTTTGACCGCTGTCAAATCCATTAAAAGGGGAACGATTTTTTTTTTTTTTTGCGTGACATTTGCATGTAAGGACAGGACAAAGGACTCTTTCTTCCAAAGTGTATTGTAAAATGGATTTACGATGTATTCAGAAGAGGTTTTTTTTTTTTTTTCCGTGACGTGTAACTCAAAAACGAGTAGCCGTAGAACGTTGTTGAAATTTTGTATATAGGACTGTTATAACATGCATCTGCCGTTTTCGTTGCAATTAGGAGCATAAAAAACATTTAACACCCTGATAGAAACAAATCGCGGGACACAATTTTTCATGGGACAAAGTTTCAGAGATTCTCAAGTACAGGCGAGCCTTGTTAAGTGGTGGGGGGGGGGAAGGGAAGAGAATGACTGTAGCTACCTCAGATTTTTACGGACTAGGATTTCCTTATAAATAATAACATTTTGTACCTTTGATTTCTTTACCATTTTCATGCCCCCAACTTTCCTTCGTAGAAATATGATAAACTTAATTCAAGTTTTACTGTTTTTGATAGGACAGGACTAGTATTGTGTTAAATATTGTGTTAGTGTTAGATTTAATGAATTTCATTGGTTTTGCATTAAGAACTCACATATAAATTACTCTTTATTTTGCATTAATTCCTATGGGGAAAACAGTTTCAGTTAATGAATGTTTTGAATGACGAACTATCTTTAGTTCGTGAACTAAAATTTCATTCTATTTTATATATTGGTATCACCCGAGTCCTTGTTTTCTCCTCTTAGTTTCATTACTACATTGAAGAAGAAGGTCCTAAGTATTTTCTCCCTCCTTTCTGCATGCTTTCCTGGTGCAACGGTAGCCCACTCGGGGCGTATTCGAGAGGTCCAGGGTTCGAGTCCCGGCGAGGGCATTGCGGATTTCTTCAATTTCTTACTTCAAAAATCCTAATGACTACCGTGGCGTCCGAACTAGAAGATCGTGGATGATGATTCTTCACCATCAGGATTTGGCGATTGGATCCCCTTATCCCCAGTCGTCCATTAAAAGAGGAAGTATATAAGGTATCAGTAGTGGGCGCAGTCCGACCCGCCTAACCAAACAAGTTGGTCTCATGGTCATAACAGGCCACGCCCATTTCAACAAATGAAAAAACTGAAACATAAAATAACTAAATGAAAATAATCATGTGTTAATAATAATTATAAACATAAAAGGGAAGAAAAAGAACAAATACAAACATTTAGACAAGAGCAGACAACCCCAATGCCAACAACAAACAACGGTAACAACAAATTAGTAAAATACACCAAATAGTGGTGGCAATAAAATGCGAAAATCATACACCGATTCCCACTGCCCGGCTCTCACCGTTAATAACTTTCATCACAGATTTACATAATTGTGCGAAATCTTTATAGTATGAAAATGGATTTTCAAATTTAATTTTTTTTATTGTTTCTTAAGCTATTAAAGTAGGGACAAACCTCGAGAAAGTGCTTAGCATCACCAAACAGACCACATAATTTACATTTATCGTCGTCCTGTATCTTAAACTTAGCGAAGTATACAGGAAACGCCCATGTCCGGTCAGAAAATGGTTAACTTCAAAATCATTGAAGATAATATTCTTTTTCTTAGTCAGTTTTAAATGTTTCAAATAACGACTTTTCCTTTCAGAAGTATTCCATTGTAACTGGCATTGCTTAAAATAATACAAATAGATAACTTTGGTTGCTATTTTTGTTGAACCCTGTACATAGGGCGTCCCCGAAACGCTCCCTATCCTCTTTTGCAAGCATATCCGCTCTCTCATTACCGAATATTCCGATATGGGCTTTAATCCAGCCAAACTTAATATTAAAGGATAAGGATAATTTTTGGTAAATATCTTTAATATCGATAACCAGAAAATTATTATTTGCTGCATTATAAAGTGCACTTAAGTATATAAGTTGTTTTCTCCATCCTTTCTGCATGCCTTCGTGGTGTAACGGTTAGCACGCTCGGCTCTTATTCGAGAGGTCCAGGTTCGAGTCTCGTCAAGGCATTGCTCATTTTTCACGTCCCCTGCTTCAAAATAACCTAATGAATCTACAAAGAAATTAATGAAACTTTCGCTGATTCTTGTTGCTTTAGCACCTTTAGCATTTGTTCTTCCACGTGTTTATCTTACTTAATACTGGTTCTCAATTTTTCATTTATTTAATCCTGAGAGCACTCAAATGCTTAAAAATGAAGACATACCGCATAGCTTCATGCCATTCAATTCATATTCAAAACTCGTCTTAAGAAATACACGTGTTAAAAGGAACAAGAGAAGTTCTTGAATAAATCTTCTGTAATAAGATAAGCTTAAAACATCTATAATACTCAACATTCATTTCAACCAGTACAGAATAGTTGGGTTCAAATAAAAATTTTACTCGTTTCCTAAGATAAATTTGAGAACCAATAGCACACATTTGTTTTCGTCTTCTGTTTTACGTCAGAATACTAAGCAGATAGAAGAGAATGTCAGTCAAGCAGAAGATTAGCAAGTGCATTTGAGTAAAATGTTTCAGATTCGACCGACTAGGCCGCGAAATCCCCTGAAATCACTACGTTCCTTTCCTTTTTATATTTAGATAAAATAACCAGTCTTTGCGCTTCAGCATTTTGCAACCATTTTCCCGCTGGGAATCCCGAGTTTTCTGCAAATCTTGTTTTCTCCGTGCTTTTGTTATCAGCGAAATTCTTTTCCTAAATCTTCTCCTTCCGTTGTGAGCATTAGTTGTCTTCCGTCTACACATTTATCTTTTTATGTTATTGTTATACTTGTATATTTCTGTTATTTATCTTTTCTGTAGATTATGTTACGACCTAATAAATGAATTACATGGATTTTTTAAAATTTATTATCCAATATAAAATTAGGTTTTCTGGTAAAGATTATAATACCAGTCACGGGAAGTTCTGAGATATTTATGTATAGGCAGTCTTTTCTATAACATTCTTGTAAATTTCTGTAAACATTTGAGTCCGTATGATTTTATTGTTGCTTTTGTGTACTGCATATTATGTAATATATTTATTTCCGGACAGTTACACTTGTGATTTTGTGATTTGCGCATTATGTATTGTTTTTATTTATTTGTTGATTATATGTAATAATTTTTGGATATATTTTGAGTAATTGAATTTAAACAACACATTATAGGAGTTAATATCTTAATATTTGTATTTATTTATTTATATTTATATTTGTATAGAATTTTTATGTTTTGAATTGATCACCGTTTAAATTACGAAAGTATCTCAAAAAGAAGCTTAAATATAGGGATAAACTCTTGTAACGAGAGGTGGTAAAAATTTTTGTAGCTATATAAATGACATTTGGCGAGTATTTGCCAACTTGGGGACATTTTGGAATTTACTGAAAACGCATTTTCGAAGCTGTAGTAGCGAGTTTTGCCGCAGCTACTAGATGGCAGGGTAACTCTATATAAATAGGACCCAAAGTCAGTATTCAGTTTAATTTTGAGTTACTTCAAAGTGTGGCTCAAAGAGTTAGCTAAATTGGGCTTTAGAGCTTACTTTGAGTGACATTTGTAATTTACAGTCTCGTACATTATAATGATAATTTGTCATTCTACTTGAGCTATACATAGCTGCTTGTTTTGTTGTAGGCCATTTTATTTTAAATAAATCGTCAGTTTCTTTTTACTTGGCGTAGTTACTGTAGTTACCACAAATCAGTATATTTCATTAAATAAATCGCAGTTTTTCTAACACTCAAAATTTTATGTTTGCTTAATTTTTCAGTAAATTACAAGCTCCATTTCAATAACTAATTCAAGGGATCCATTAGCTTAAAAATATTTGCCTGTTAATTACAACCTACTAAACCTAGCTTCCTATGCTATGGATTAATTCTCATCTTCGCGCTGACTTTGAGTTCTAAATTCTAAGAACACAAATAAGATGTAAACTTGAACTAAATGCTTATGAACACTGCATGTTTTATGTAGTAAAATTTAACAAAACTTATTTTTTGAGACTTTAGATGTCTTAGAAACACAAATGCTTGAGTAATAATACGATACAGCAAATAAATTCAATGTCTAAATAACCTAGTTCCAGCTACCTTCAACATCTAGCAAATAAAAGCCAACCACTCAGCAAAACTAAATCGGAGATTAAACAAACGGATTATGAAAATAAACAGCTTGCTAAAATACTGAAAAGATGAATCTCTAAACTACACACTCGATTTCTACTGTAGACGCCGCTTCATGTGATCGCGGCTAATGT